ATGGAAAAACCCGATGTTGATGTCTCCTTCCTGGATCCATCTTATCCTAGACATTTGCCTCAATAAACTTTCTTCAGCTCTTAGCAGTTCATGGAGCTCCAATGAGAGCTTTGTCTGCCTTTCAACATCAACTGTAGGTTGAGTTAGTGCAACTATTTGTACAGCTGCCAACTCTTCCCTCTTGTCTTTAACCTTCTCTCCCAATTCCCCAAAATGTGAAAAGTTGAATTTCTTTTTGAACTAGTTTCAACCCTTTTAACTTTCTGTGCAAGATGGTCATTGGCTGACCGTGGGCTGACAACCTTCATGATTCCTCAACTATTTTCAGAAATTGAGAGTGCTTTTGTCCCAAAGTTGAAAAACTTGAATGATTTTGGCATGAATTGCCTGGACACATTTATGTTAATCAAAGCTAAACAGTGATCTGACAGTATTTTTTTTTAACATAAATCGTATATGCAAGTCAAATTTTTTAATATAAAAAATATCATCCTTTTAATTATAGAAAGTATAATCCTTCCCACAGATAAACATTGCCACGTCGATTGAACTGACATAAATATAACATTAATTAAATGCATAATGCTATCACGCATATATGGTCAATAAAGTGTAGCTAAATACCAAGTTTCCTGTATGAAGCTTTTATACAGTCCACATGAATCTATGGAAATGCGAAAACATATGCCTAATAAAACCAAGACGTCTTTTTTGGTCCTTTTGGAGCCCCTTCTAGAATCAAGCGAATGGTTCTCAAACCTTAAGTCAAACAAGCAAAAACTTCATCCTCATCTTCCAGGCTTGAAGTTTATCTGCCCTGGATTTTTAAAGTTGCTTGGAGAGGTCATACAATTGGAAGTTGCCTGGAAAGCAGAGGAGAGACCTTTGGCTCCTGGACCTGGTAAGCCTTCAAAATTTGCCATCTTAATTCTCAACGTTGAAATAGTCTTTTTTCAATTTCCATTAAAAGGTTGTTCAACAAGCATTATTGTACCAATGCATCTATTGCGCGTCTAGTTTTTCACGATTTGATAATCCTTCGAATAGAATACAAGTTTTCTTGCAAAAACAAGAACCTCCCAAAAAAAAACTAGTCAAATCCCTTGGTCTTTCTTGACTCAAATGCTGTCCTAGTGCCTTGCTGTCGTAAATTTCTTTACCTTTTAATGTGGTTATTAAAATAATCAAACCAGGCTGATGAGATCGACGCTGATCATTTTTTTATCCTTCCACTAATAAAGACGAAAATTCAGATAACGTGTTTCAGAAAATGCCAACACTAAATCTAAAGAACCACTAAACATGTAGATAATGTTTTTGGCAAAAGTAAAAATTCCAATACCCAAAAGTTTTCAACCCTTTCATTAATTTGTCTTTAGCTTTACGGTGACGATTGCCTTTTGCCATCAAGTCATTTAAGTGACAGTTGATTTAGCTTTAATTACGTAGAATAAAAGCATATATCTATCTACTTCTTTCTTTGATTTCCCTACAATCTTCACAGTAACGTCTCAACTTTGCCTCAACAAGTTTTTCAAATTGAATCAGAGCCGCTGATATTTTATAACCAGAATATATATTGGGATGCGAAAATTTCATCGGTTTTGATTCAAGGTTCATAAAGAGAGTTAAGGACTAATGAACACTATTTTTCTATTCATTCGACTGTTATACCTAAATTTTTAGTCGTATCCAACACATGACCGAATAGCATAGATATAGAATGAATGAATGAAAGAAGTATATAAAACCCTTAAACAGTGGGGGAAACTGTAATAATAAAATTGATGAAACATTGAAGCATATGTCCAAGTTTGAGTAACATGGTTGAAAAATGATGTACTAGTATCCTTGATTTTCGGAAGAAATGAGAGTAATACTGGGCCATTTGATGGTTGGCTGGCCACAAGCAGTATCTGTTGCTCTCAGCTTTATTCATTACTTGGTGAAAAATATAGATAAAAATCATATCCACCATAAACAATCCTTAAAAGTTTTTCAACCAAGGCAGATCTTGGTGGTCGTCTTTAATTAATGTATTGACGCCTAACTTTACAACTATTGCAATAGGAATCAGCCGTTGCCAACTTAAAAGCAGCATATTAGTAAAGCAGATTTCCAATTCAGCAATAAAAAAAATTAAAAATAAAAAAACCTGAATCTGTTTTTATTAGCACTCCATTCATGCTTTTTAAAAAGAGTCAGTTCGAAGGCTAAGATAAAGACGAAATAGCTAGTGTTGGGATCGAGCCCAACCATGTTAGAATCCACTAATTATTGAGGCTAAACCCCAAATTTAGATTTGCTTGAGCTTGGGAGCAAGTGACATAATTGGTATGTGCAGCAGAAGAAGTAAGCTGGCCCTAGTGAAACAAAGAGGACCCAGCAATATGTCGAGGAGATTCACAGAGATATCCCATATCATTAATAAATTAATAAATGAAATGAAAGCTGGCATATATATATATATATATATATATATATACATAAAAATTCTAAAAATCCCATAATTTAAACTTTTAAGTTCAAATAATGTTCAACGTTTATATATGAACTACTTTTATTAAGTGCACCCTTATAATTTTAAAATATGACTCATCTCCCGACACAATCGAGCAAGGTATCTGATCATTTTCCAAAGAAGTATGGGTTTCCTAATAAAAAACAATAATCGTGAATTACTGCTAATCAAGTTTATGCTGATATCAAATGCAAGCAACAAAGGAATAAGGGAAACCCAGTTGATAGAGGGTCAAATGAGACCCACATTGGACTTGCAACAAAGACTAATGAACGCAAAGGAGACAGACAAGACGTCCCTTCCTAAATGTCTGTAAATGGAAAAGACAACAAGTGGCATCTTTTGCTGTTGTTGTTGTTGTTCTTAATTAATTATCTTGCATTCTTTTCTTCTGTACTTTAATTTTAGCACATTGCTCCTTGAGTCTTGCACATTAGCGTAATTCATGTCCTTGACATTCTTGTTACTTGAAGTTGACAAAATTGAACTCATTTTTTTAAGTAAAAAAAATTGAATTCTTATTATTTAAATTAATTAAAGTTTAATACTATCATATAATTATTTGTATGTTTTAATTATATCAAAATATAATATATTTAAAGATAATTTTACATACTAAATTTGATATCAGATAATACTGATTGTTTTTGTTGATTTTTGTGAATTGATTTATTCTTATCAATGCATAAATGTAAAATATATTTTGTAATTTTTAATTTATTTTTTATTGTTCGATTATTTTCAAGGTAATAAAAATAAAATAATTTGATAAAATATATTTAAAAGTTGAATTTTTCTATTTTATTATTGTAACTTCTTTTCTTTTATACTTTATTTTTTCAAATCAAAATTCATAAATATTTTAATATTTTTCAAGAAAATAATTGTGCTTATTTTATAATGTTTAACAATAATGAAATGAAGATTAATTTTTTTATTTTTTTGTTTTTATCTTAATATTTATATGAAAAAAATACTTATTTAAATATCATATGATCAGATTAAATTTTTAAAAATACCATAAAAAATTGTGATCTTATTTCTTATATTTTTAAATTTATTTATTAAGCTTTTAAGATGTTGTATATTTATTTTATAAATTATTAATAGGATTATAATATACAAGTTTATGTATATTTATAAATATATATATATATCAAATCAAAAAATTTGAAATAATATGACAAAATAATTGATATAAGCATATATTACATTTTTAAAGAAAATCAAAATATTATTTGATATGGTATTAACAATTTTGATACTAACACTTCGTATAACTCTTAATTATTATACTGTCCGTATATTTCGAGAAAGTAAAATGATTTTTCTTATACTATGCTAGTGTTCAAAACCACAAAAGGGCCGTACACTCTTTATTTCAAGATATATATATATATATATATTTATATATCGTATGCTGTTGTCTTGGATTTGATTTTAAGTCATTTAAAAGACAAAAAAAGATGCAAATCATCTTAAATTCTCTCTTTCTCTCTCTCTATATACAATAGTAGTACTGACTTTATTAACATTGAATTTGAAAAACGCTTTAAATAAAGGTAAATATAAAAACGATTTTAATATTATACATTGTTTTGGTAATTTCATATTTTAAAAAATAAACTTTCATTTTTTTAAAAATATTTTAATATTTTAGATTAACATCATTAATCAAATTACTTATATGATATTAATATTCAATAAAATTATGATGCTAGACATAAATGTTCAAATGTTCAGTTATCGTCATTTTATTTATAGACACGTTAGCATTTAAATAATTAGCAAAATATATTTCTAATTAAAAATTAAAAAATAAAAAAAAAAGAAGAAAAAGAAAGAATTAGGGAGAGAGAAGGGGAACTGAAGAAGGAAGGGCTAGAGATAAAGAAGGGAGAAGGGAAAAAAGGAGGTAAGGGCAACGTAGCTGGTTGGCCCAAAGCCGTATAGTGGTCGGTCTACCCTGGACCTAACAAATCGACCTCAATTCGGCTCGTTTGAACCAAATCGGTGTCGATCAATCACGTATAGGGCAAACCAATCTTGAGTTGGCTAGCGGTATCGCCCCTTCCCCTTCCCCCTCTTTCTCTCTCTCCTTCCCCTCTCTCTCCCCAATCCATTCTTTCCTTTTTTTCTTTTTTTGGATTTTTATTTTAAAAAAAAAACCATATTTTTAAATTTTTAATTGTTTAAAATTTTTACTAATGTACCAATAGCTGATGTGGGAATGACTTGTATGTTTATGATAGTGGTAATTTTATTTACTATTCATGCATGTTAATTATTTAATTGATTATAATAATATAAAATATTAAAATATTTAATAAAATAAAAATTATAATACTTAAATATAAATTTTATTTTTTAAAATATCATAATGACAAAATATGTGTAACACAATACCAAACTCGTAAAGAACTTTCATTTCTCAACAAATTGAAAACATTTCATTATAAAAATAATTAAAAGAAGAAAAAAGAAAGAGAAATAGGACTTGACATTGGGCGTAATAAAATAGAGTATGGTTAAAGAAAAGGGCTTGATAATAAAGAAAACTCATTAATTATTTTCAAGTCCTATCGTTCTGTCTGTTTGCTAGTTGTTGGTCAAAATGGCCACAAGCCCCGGAATAGCGCAAACACTCAACCAACCCAACAGAAATATAGAAGTTCTCATAATCTTCGACCAGCGAAGCGCCAACGACCCGCAGTCTTCGTCTCCTTTCCCACTCCACCATCCCGTTTCTATTTCTCTCTCTTTCTCTCTTTCTTGGATTAGCCGACAAATTTCAGAGAACCAAAGAACATCCACACTTCAAAAAAATTTTAAGTAGGACTATTAATTTATTTATTTTTAAATTAAAAAAGGAAATCTCAAAAAAAAAGGAAAAAGTTAAGAATATCAAAAGAAGAAACTCTCACTAAAGTGTCTGCTCCGTTGCAACATTCTCTTTCTTTCTTTCTCTCTCTCTCTCTATTTCTCAATCACTCTCTTTACTTCGATTCCTCTCTGTAGAAGCTAGAAAGCTGGGCCTTGTTTGGCTTTTCGACTGTAATGTGAAACCCTAGCTAAGCAGGTTTAGTTAGAGTTTTTATTTTTTTGGATTTTAGTTCGACTGGATCCGGACAAAAGATAAGGCTGCGTTTAGCAGAATGGGGAATTGTTGTAGATCTCCAGCGGCCGTTGCCAGAGAAGACGTGAAATCGAACTTTTCTGGCCACGATCACTCCCGTAAAGATTCCGTTTCCAAACAGAAGCCGCCGATCACCGTACTCACTGGAGTACCTAAGGAGAACATCGAAGAGAAATACCTCGTGGATCGCGAGCTCGGCCGAGGTGAGTTCGGAGTTACTTATCTTTGCATCGACAGCGGCACGCGCGAGTTGCTCGCGTGCAAGTCAATCTCGAAGAGGAAACTGAGAACCGCCGTGGATATCGAAGATGTGAGACGAGAAGTTGCGATTATGAAGCACTTACCGAAGAGTTCGAGTATCGTGAGCTTGAAAGAAGCGTACGAGGATGACAATGCGGTTCATTTGGTGATGGAGCTTTGCGAAGGTGGTGAACTTTTTGATAGGATCGTCGCCAGGGGACATTACACGGAGAGAGCCGCCGCAGCAGTGACGAGGACGATTGTGGAAGTAGTTCAGCTTTGCCATAAGCATGGAGTGATTCATAGAGATTTGAAGCCTGAGAATTTTTTGTTCGCTAATAAGAAAGAGAATTCGCCTTTGAAAGCTATCGATTTTGGGTTATCAATATTTTTCAAGCAAGGTAAGCTCTTGAATGTATAAATAAATGAGTCCTTTTCAAGAATGCACCATATAAATAGTCAGAATTATTAGTAACAATGCTAGGTTAGAATTATTTAATTATGTAGCAAAGATGGTGTTTTGCCAATCTGGGTTTTGCTTTTACCACGGAAACATTTGACTCCAAAGGAAAAGTACATGGAAAGATTGATTTAAGTGTATCGGATTGGTCATGGCGATGTGCTATAGTCTGTTTTTATTTATTTGTTTATGGTTTTTGTAGTGACGAAATACGCACTTTGATAATTTTATTTGGCTATGCTTTAAAGGTAACTTTTAAGCTACTGTAGTATGCGCAATTCCTTTGAATCAATGTTATCATTCACTTATTTTGCCTGAAATGAACAAACGGATGCCTACTTTTTTTCTTACAATTGTGATAGTTTTGTTTTTATTAGTTATTTATCTAATTTCTTTTTTGATAATCTGTCCCGATTGAACACTTTGGTGTCTTTGTTCATATCCTTTCTTCTCATTAAAATATATATATATATATATATATATATATTTCTTCTCCTTGGTTTAATTCTATAATAATGTATTAATGGTTACTTACCTGAAATTGAAGCATGAGATGAGACATTGGTGAATACTATAAGTTTTAGATTTGGAAATGGCCGCTCATTGTCTTTATTTGATTTTTTATACTAACTTTTTTCTTCATACTGATCCATCCACCAAATGGCCATTGAGTTGTCAGCATAATGGTGATTGTCAGTTATGTTAGTAGCAAGTACTTCTCTTAAAGATATCTTGTATGGTCACACTAGGGGAAACTTTGAACTGTAGCTTTGTTTGATTGATACAAGTTTTCCTATTTCCTATAATTGGCTGTCATGGGATAGCATTGGTTAACCTTAGTTGCTCAAGTGTCTCAAATTAAGTAGATTTTGCTTCCACCAGACTAATGGTCCAATTTTTGGGATGTTCTAGTGTGCTAAAAACCTTCTGTCTGGTTTAGTTTTGTGAAGCTTTTCATGCTATAGCACCCAAGATGTTGCTGAGTTTGCTTTTATTAATTCTTTTATACTTCCATTGCTTGTAAACTGGAATAGCTGGCATGGTAAGTCCAAGGTTTCCTCTGCAAAAAAAGTTTTGCCCCAATTTCTCAACTATAACCATTTCTCTCTGCCTTAGGATATCCCTTTCTGGTCAATAATTTCTCAGTTTTGATTGCAAAAAACTGCATGGTTGGTTAGGATGTGGTGTGGAGACACTGGTGGGGGTATGAAAGTGTAAATATTATGCTAAGTAGGATAAGGTCTGTGTAACTATAGTTTGAACACTTTTCCTCTTATTGCTGTTGATTTTTTTTTTTTTTAATTCTGTTTTCTAATGCCTATGATGTGTAAATTTCAGGTGAAAGGTTCTCTGAGATTGTTGGAAGTCCATATTATATGGCTCCTGAGGTGCTCAAACGGAATTATGGGCCAGAAATAGATATATGGAGTGCTGGAGTCATTCTCTATATTTTGTTGTGTGGGGTTCCTCCTTTTTGGGCTGGTAAGTGTAATTTTGTGGAATTCCATTGTCACTATACAGGTGTGTGCATATCTGTTGGATGTGCACTAACGTATCAAAAATGAGTTGAATTTTCATTCCTACCTGAAAAATGTTTCTTATGCAGAGTCCGAACAAGGTGTTGCACAGGCAATTCTTCGTGGATTAATTGATTTCAAACGTGACCCCTGGCCAAATATTTCAGAGAGTGCTAAGAGTCTAGTCCGACAAATGTTGGAACCAGACCCAAAACTTCGACTCACTGCAAAGCAAGTGCTTGGTACTAACATTTCCTCTGTACTAGTCTTTGTGTGTATATTTCAGGGGGAGGGAGGTGAGGGGGATGTATAGGCGTTTAGGTACATCCTTTCATGATTCTATTCATCTTGTGATTGGCTTTTTCTACATCTTCAAATATAACATGTAAAACCTTTGTAATATCAGCTTTCCACGTTTGCTTCAAAATGCCAAGATCAAGGAAGATCTGTGTTCCTAATTTGCTCTACATCAAATGTTAATGATTAGTGATAGTTTGCCTAATTTATATGTTGCCTTTATCTTACAGAGCATCCTTGGCTTCAAAATGCTAGAAAAGCTCCCAATGTTCCTCTTGGCGATGTTGTTAAGTCAAGGCTTAAACAATTTTCAATGATGAACAGATTCAAAAGAAAAGCCCTGCGGGTTGGTTTACTAAATTTAAAAATTTTGCTAGAACATTTGTTCTTTTTTTAATACCTAGAGGAATCTTAAAAGTTTATTTGAATTAGGTTATTGCTGAGTTCTTATCCGTTGAAGAAGTTGAAGACATCAAAGAAATGTTCAAGAAAATGGACACTGACAATGATGGAATTGTTTCAATTGAAGAGCTGAAAGCTGGATTTAGAAATACTGGTTCACAGCTTGCAGAGTCTGAAGTGCAGATGCTTATTGAAGCTGTGAGTGTGTTTTGGTTTATACTTTGCATAAATTAAATAGTGTTATGATACTCTATGTACTGATTCTCATCAAAACAGAAATGAAAATTCTTTATTTTCTCAGTAGATATGCCTTTTGCAAGTGTAGTCAATATGATCATAAGAACTATTAGTTGACCAAGACAAAAACCATAGCATTATGAAAATTCTTCAATTTTTTCCTGTTGTCTCTCACACTAACTTTGTTTTAGTATTAACATTATTATCTGCCTATTCATTACATTGCCATTATAGAGCAGCCTTGAAGAAGTTGGATGTCTGATGATAGTTTAAGTAACTATAAGCATGCACAGACAAAAGCCATAATAATGGGGAGGCTGCTGTTTCTTAGTTATCAGTGTAACTACATTTTCCAAGAAGAGAAACAAAACCCATTTTAGTTTTCGGAAGAATAGAGTGGCCTTTTGGAAAAGAGAGTATTCTACTCAGCAAACATACTAGTTTTTTCATGAAGGATTCTACAGTAGTTGATGAGAGATTTTACTTTGGTGTTCATACTGAAACTAGAGTCCTTTGGTAATGCTACTTCTCCTCCTTTTCTCTCTTTTCCTAAATGTTGGTCAAACTTAAATTTGATAAACCCCTTTAGCAGTTTTTGTACTTGTCAAGATGTTTCCTCGATGTGGCTGTACTACTGTGGCTGCATTATGACATATCCAATTTTATCACAAATAGTAGCATCATATCTTATGCTCATCTAACTTTCAATTTTCAATGCTAAAAGTGTGTTTCTTGACAATAGGTTGATGCTAACGGGAAAGGAACATTGGACTATGGGGAATTTCTTGCTGTTTCTCTCCATCTTCAAAGAATGGCCAATGATGAGCATCTTCAAAAGGCCTTTTCCTATTTTGACAAAGATAGCAGTGGTTTCATTGAGCCTGATGAGCTTCGGGATGCATTAATGGAGGATGGAGCAGATGATTGCACTAATGTCGCAAATGACATCTTCCATGAAGTGGACACAGACAAGGTAATGACCCAATTTTTTGTCACTGATAAATTCATTTAACATGTTTCAATTTGACTGGCAATTACTCTGTAAATGCAGGATGGGCGCATTAGCTATGATGAATTTGCAGCAATGATGAAAACTGGTACAGATTGGAGAAAGGCATCTCGACATTACTCAAGAGGAAGATTCAACAGCCTAAGTATAAAGCTGATGAAGGATGGTTCTCTGAATTTGGGGAGTGAGTAGAACCATACCATTGCTTCGTTTAGTTCATCCTTGCAAGAAAAGTACTGGATCATTCCTTGTATATCTTAGACTTTGCTTTCTCTTGCGATTATTTGCGGAGGAGGACTCTGCATTAAATGGGGTCCTTTCGGCTGGTGGTTTACAAGGATTGTGGTGGGCCGAGTACATCTTGTTTGTCTCTGCTAATGTTAATTGTGGAAAACACCTTGTGGCCATAGGCATGTATTATTCTCTTTTACCACTACCAACCTTTCGATTGTTGTTTCTTGTTGACATTATAGGAATGAATTTTGTAGTGCTTAATGTATTCTTGTCCCAAGAAATGTTGTTGTCTCTTGCTTTTTGGAATCCAAATGGCTTTCAATCAGCATGCTTGGACATGTCTGGCACATAGTAGGGACAATTTAGCACATGCCTTGGGAGGCTCTTATTTATATTATCGTTGTACCATGTCCATTGCTACATAAGCATCATTTAGTAACAACGGGGCTAGAGTTTACAAATTTCTGTATGAGCTTTGATGCTTTTTCTGGCCATATCTCTGCGGTCCATGATCAGCTAGTGAATTGTGTAGCATAAGCTTCGGCATGGACTGTTTAGGACTCCACCGGGCTAGAGGCTTCTAAAGTCAGAGACAGAGGCAAATCTTGTGTGGTGTTGGGCCCCATCTGATCTGTTATAATTCTGAGCTAGTGTAATTGATTTAGTTCAAGTTAATATAATATTAAGCGTGAATTCAAATTCAATTTTAAATTTGATGTTTAAAATTTAATTTGAGTTTGATTGAGTTTTTATTTTTTTAGATCAAGCTGACTTAAGATAAAAATTAAATTTTTTGAATTTGTTCGGTTAAATTTGATTAATATAAAAAAATAAACTTAATTTTATATTCAATAAAAGTTAAATTATTTGTGGTCAAGTTCAAAATTTAAAATATTTTATTAATTAGAATATATTAAAATATAAAAATTTAATTAGATTCATAAATTATTTGAATGGAATATAAAAATATTTAAATTTGATTTCATGGATAAATCAAATTATTTAAATTTAAGTTTAATTCAAAAATAACCTAATCAAATTTAAATTTATTTAAATTAAATTTAAATATTTTTAAATATTTTTATTTAAATTAAATTTAAATAATCTATGAATATTAATATATCGTTTACCCTAAGATTAATGTTTTATTGGTATTGGGGAAAATCTTGATCGTTATTCAGAGTTCTGACTGCTTCGCTTGGAAGGCCAATTTGGCCCATTGGGTTATAGTTTTCGAAAGTCAGCGACAGGTTAATTCTTGTGCTTGTTGGGGCAGGTTAACTGTCATTGCGTCCTTTTCTTTCCAGCCCAAGATCAGGTTGGAGGGCAAATTTTTTGTTGGGGCGACTCATGTCAGATTTGCATCCCTAACTTCAATTAGTTTTCCGAACAATCCTGAATCCTGATTCCAGTGAATGTCGATGACTTTGGACATGTGAAAATTATCGCTGAATTGCTAGATGAAGAGGATGCTTCTGAAACCACTAAAAGCCAAAACGCATACAGCTATTTTCTTTTTTTTTTTAATTTTCTTTCTTTATATAATAGATAACTGAATCCAGCTAGAAGGTCGAACCCTTTCACCATCAACATGTTGGCAGAGCTTTATATGTAGTTAATAATTAATAGCACCTGGAATCTTCTTTGTCTTGATTTTATTGCAACCAGATAGTAACAAATAAGGGAAAGGAATGAAATTTATGAGACAGCAAAAAATACGTAGCTTTTATTCTCTCACGCTTGGTTTGTAATTGCACAGATAGATGCTTCAAAGTCTTTGTTAGGCGCAGAAAAGTTGTGGTCTCTCAAAGTCTTTATCATGCAGTAGAATCCACATCGAAGAAGCCAAATAAAATCATCTAAAATTATACTGCAATCTGTCCTATCGTGCCAAAATTCTCTCTTTAAACACTACACGATTAGTCACGGTGGCCAAAAATACGAAATGCAGGTCCTTTTTCATCGATTTCTACATGAAATAGGTAAGCAACTAGCTCGAAACCAACATGGCTGTTGTGTTCATCATTTAGTTAAATATTGAGGGGTTTTCTTTTTTTTTTTTTTTTATTTGCAGTCAATTTTCAGAGCTACTCAACTCTTGAGATATAACATATGTTATTGGTTAAATGGGTCAATCATCGATTTTGAAAAGCAACTCAGCATTTTTACGTTGTAAAATTTGGATAAGGTGTTGTTAGATTTGGTAGGCGCTTGCTTTTTATCGGTAAAAAGGTAAACCATTGAAGAATCTATTCAATCTAAAGTTGGGACGATTCCAAAGATAATAGCTAAAGATGGAGGCAGAAAACCAATACTTATATTCTATGCAGATTTACATACACATGCCATAATATATATAGAAGCAGCAACTTTAACTGAATGGTCAAAATTTGAAAGCACTAATAAGCGAAAAGATTGAAATGCCTAGAATTTAACTCATCGATCTTGATTATCTTAGTTTAGTGGTTACTTGTAGAACTTGTTCACATGCACTTCACGACTTTTGCACGGAAGAAAGGAAAAGTTATTGTTGTTTTCCAACTCTTTTCAAAAATTCTGATCTCACATAACCCACACCACGCCAGCTAATGCTTTTTCTACAGAGCCGTAAAGAGACTTCAAGGCCATACCAAAAACGGGCCAATGTTACCACACATGGTTTTCCTGGAAAACATTGTCTTCACAGCATGTAATTGCAAGGGAAAAAAAAAAGCATTTCCAGGAGTTCACACTTCACACCTCTCCAAACGCATATCCACATTGGCCTGGCTTGTTAAATCATCTGCAGAAAACATGCTCGACATTGTTTAAACTCAAGCTTAATTTGAAACGAAAAGCAACTGCTTTTCTGGACTTTAGAAATTAACTTGCTGCAATAAGTACTCTCTAATCACACGTTTCTGTTGCAGTCCCATTAATTCCATGTTTTTGGCAACAATCATGCAAAGCTGTCTAGATAGTACTCTTTCACACACTGTCTTGTGGACACTAGATTATAATTTTGATTTGATTCGCCTCGGGTCAATTTTGAGTACACCATACATCATTATCCTACAGCTTGGCATCGGTTTAAGAATTTATTTAATATTTTAACTACCATATATATTTTTGTGATTGAACATTTTAATTTGGTAACTGAGTATCAATTTGCTCACTAATACAAGTAAAGGAATCATACAAATTAACATGTTTACTGTCCCAAAATAAGATAATTTCTTCATTTTAAGTATTTGACATTTCAATGATGAGTACCTTTTTTATCCAAATTTCCCATTAAGTCCTGCTGATCGGGGGGATTCTGATGGCTGTTCTCAATTCTAATCAAGGGGAAATGAAATGGGCAGGGTGCTATAGAACGGAAAATCACTTTAATGGGCGCTGTCAATGGAAAATCCATTAATATTCAGATTTCCTTTAAATTTAGGAAATTCACTTGCTCAATTTTTATGTTACCCTTGACAATAGCTAGCAAAGAAGCCAAGAAGTACTCAAGCATGCTCGTATAAGTCAAAATAGTATTTCGAAAGTAAAAAAAAGAGAGTTGAAAAAATAGTAGCAAAATACTCAATGAACATATTTGAAAATGTAATAATACCCATGCTAGCTCTTATTTTTGACGAGTCATTGAAGATTATAAATAAAAAATAGTTAAGGAGCTTTGAATTTATAACTTTGTGAAAACAATCTCTCAATATATATTATTTGTCGTTTATCATTTATACATAGAAATATGAACTCCAAAAGCACTAAAAGTTATTGATCAAAATATTCTTATAAAATTTTAAATTAATAAATTCATCTTTAAATATATAGTTTTTATTAAATTATTTAAATTTAATTTAAATCAATTAAAATTAAAAATGAAGTCTATGTGAAATTAAATTATTTAAAATTTTAATTTTAAAATTGTTAAAAGTGATTGACTAAAATACTTTAAGTAAATCTTTTATAAATTTTAAATTTAAATAATTTTTTTATTATTAGATTTTTTTTTATATAATTAGGTTCAAAAGTGTTAAACATGATTTGCGAACTCTAAAAGTATAAAAAATGATCAATCAAAATATCCTTATGAACTTTTAAAGTAACAAATTTATCTTTAAATATATAATTTTCATTAATTTATTTAAGTTTAATTTAAGTAAACTAAAATTAAAAATAGAGACTATTTGAAATTAAATTGTTTAAAATTTTTAATTTTTAATTCTAAAAGTGTTAAAAATAATTGACTAAAATACCCTAAGTAAAATTTTTTTATAAATTTTAATTTAAATGAATTTTCTTTTTGTTATTAGACTCTTTTTTATAATTAGATTCAAAAGTGTTCAAAATGATTAACTAAAATACATTTAATAAAATTTTAATTTCAAAATTATTAAAAGTGATCAATTAAAATACCATTGAAATTTTTTTTTATAAAATTTAATTTAAATAAATTTTTTATTTTTTTATAATTAGACTCATATTAAGACACAAAATGATTTTCATATCAAATAAAAATACAAATATAGCAAGATCAAAACTTATTAGTATGCATAGGAATAAATAATTATATGAAATTTATTTCTTTATTGTTGTAAAAACAATTACATATTTAGTTTATGTTAATATATAAATTCATTAAAAATAATTATAGTTAAGTTATTGAAGCATTTTTTCTAGTTTTTGCCTTTCAATTTTTTGTTTTAATTGATTTATTAACTACATTTGTATATTAATGATTTTATTGTTTATATGTTTTATGAGTGGATCATTTGATTATTAGTAACATAATTAAATCATCTTAGTAACTTGAAATAATTTTTAATATATATTATTCTTATAGTTTAGTCTAACCTCTACAATTAATTTTTCTTTCGTTTCTTTTTCCTCAAAAATTTTATAATTGTTATTCCTATAAATAAAAATTAATATTAAATCAAATATAAATAAATTGCACACTCTTCACCAACAATTAGCACTTTGTGATTTATTTAACATTTTAAACACTTCAATTGAACTTTTCACTTATAAAATTAGATAATTTAAAAGGTGGTGGAGCTATTGGTAGCTCAGGACCAAATTATCATAAAAATTGTTCATTCTGACTAATTTCTATAAGAATTATTCACTTTGACTAATTTTTATCTCAAAATGATTAATTTAATTTTTTTAATTACATTACATTACTCATTTTTTTGTCATCTAGGTGGTTGAATAACCTAATGTGAATTATTTTAAGTAGAGAATTATCAAGTGAAATAAGATTAATTGTTTTTTATGAAATTTTTAAGGTGTGGTAAAATTCATTGAAATCATCTTTTGAATGTGTTTGTGCCAAATTTACATTCATACATGAAAATTTATATTATTAATACTAAAAATGAAATCATTATAGGCTGTATAGGTACTATAAAACAAATTAGATATATTGAGAATTGGAATTTTCTTAACAAGAGAACATGACAAATAGTAAGGTTATGAATTTATTTTATTTTATTTTTAAAATCATGTATTTTTATATTTTTATATAATGAAAATTTTCAAATAAAAAAAATTAAGCTTTCAATTGGTAGAATTTATAATTACATTCAATTGATGGAAGCACCAATGAAAGATTATCCTAAGCAAAAGATAAGGTAAAAGATTAACCGATTTTTTATAGCTTTATTTTCTTTATATGACAAAGAAGGTTGGTGATATATAA